GAGGAGGGGGTTGGAGTTTGGTTTGACCTAGCTATGTCTCACTTGGGTATTATCATGCACCTAACCCAACTAGTTATGTTATATCCCAAATCCACTTGAATTAAATATTCAATTTGTTAAAAAGAGTACAAAAGTAGTAGTTAATATAATGAAGTGGTTAAGTCTAAAAGTTGAATAATCAATGAGCTTTATTAGTGTTTTTACTGTATGATTTTTGTCTTGTTTATTAAAGAATGAAGAAAGTGGTTAAGCTTTCCAATAATTAGCCATATAATTATTTTTGACTTTAACTTAGTTATACACAATTTTGCTCTAATTACTATCCTACTTCATCAAGAAAGGTATCTAAAGAGCAAATAAGTTTTTATAATAATACTAATAGTTTCACTCCATCCCATCTAACTAGATATTCATGATATATACTTCTAATGTCGAATCAAAATAGAAGTAAGGTAATTCAAAATATTGAACTTGCTGAATAGATGAAATATAACCAAAATATATATCTTTTATGAGAGACTGAATCGATCGTGTTTATTTGAAGAACAATTATGTTTATGTAAGAAGGTGAAAAGAAGAAGTCATTAGCAACTTTTCGTACCTCTAAAACAAATTTATTCTTCTTGAAAGATTCTTTCATTTATTTTAAAATTTAATTATCCTTTTCATCACCTTACTTTAATGAAAGTATCAAGTTTAGTACAATTATAGTTGAATGTTAGACATGTGCAGATGTGAAATAAAGGGAATTAGTTGTTGAAACAAAGTCAATTGATAAACATCACTTTGACAAGTGCCCTACCCCACCCCACCCCACCCCCCACCCCCTACTAAATAATATAGAATCCTTACAAGCCAAACTATCTAACTAACCTTAACCCCACTTTCCCTTTATATATATACACTTAAATTCCATTTCTCCAAACACCACCACAACAACAACATAGTATTCAAGAATCCTTATTACTTTCTTGAAAATGTCAAATGTTTTCTTGATTTCATGTGTTCTGTTTACTCTGTTTGTGCCATCAACATATGCACAATCATGCACAAACTACAACTTCACAAGCAACAACCAAATGTCATTCACTTCATGTAGTGATCTTCCATATTTAAACTCATTCCTTCATTGGAATTACAATCCTTCTACAAAAACTGTGAAAATCGCCTATCGACACACTAAGATTAATGCCTCCACAAGATGGGTAGCATGGGCTATAAATCCAACTTCACAAGGCATGGTTGGTTCACAAGCACTTGTTGCATATCAAAAATCAGATGGAAAAATGAGTGTTTATACATCACCTATTACAAGTTATCAGACACAATTACAACAAGGGGATTTGAGTTTTAATGTGTCTGATTTATCAGCTACTTATATCAATAATGAAATCACTATTTTTGCTACTTTAAAACTTGAGGATTTTAACTCTACAATTTTGAATCAACTATGGCAAGAAGGTCCACTTTCAGGAGATTCACCAGCAATGCATGATACTGCTGGTGTTAATACTCAATCTGCTGGAGCTCTCAGACTTCTTTCTGGACAATCTGGAACTACTTCAACAAAAGCAAGCTCGCAATTTAACAAGAGAAATGTAAGCCAATTCATCCGTTCTAATTTTCACAACGGTAAACTTGTCTCTGTGAGACCTATAGGTCACGAGTTTGAGTCGTTGTGTCAGGGTAGGCTAGAGTATGATCCTTCCCCACACCCTAAGTGAACACAGGATGCTTTGTACTTCGAGCTGCCCTTGTGCTAAAACTAACTGAAAAAGTTACTCACAATGGATTTTTTTTTTCAGCTTCATGGATTGCTAAATGCAGTGAGTTGGGGGATCATGATGCCTATAGGGGTCTTGTTTGCAAGGTACTTAAAGGTGTTTTCAGACCCTGCATGGTTTTACCTACACTCTATTTGGCAAATCACAGCTTATGTTATTGGTGTTGCTGGCTGGGCTACTGGTCTCCAATTAGGGAGTGAGTCTAATGGTATTCAATTTACTGCCCATAGAATCATTGGCTTTGTCCTCTTTTCTCTAGCCACCCTCCAGGTACTCTAATCATTCTTTATAACACTATTATTTCAACACTTCTTATCTGTTTGGTACGACGAAAGTCATTTTTTCAAGAAAACATTTTCCCTGAGGAAGTCATTTTCCAGTGTTTGGTTTGGTGGATAGAACATCAGCTATATTGCTTGGACTCTTTAAAGATGCGGATGGATGTGTGTCAGATCCTCCAAAAGTAGTGCAGACATGAGTGCCACAACATTTTTGGAGAGTCTAAGCAACATAGAGAAAAACACTAATATTGTTGTTCGTATCTAATCAATAACTTATCCGAAAAAAATATTTCCACACACCAACCAAACATCAGAGAACATTCTTATAGAACATATTTTTGAATTATGTCTTTTGGTTACAGGCTTCTGCTATGCTTCTAAGGCCAAAAAGGGATCACAAGCACAGGATCTACTGGAACATTTACCACAGAGCAGTTGGCTACTCAATTGTTGTTCTTGGAATCATTAACATATTCAAAGGTTTGAACATCTTGAAACCTCAGAAGAAATGGGAAACATATTATATTGCAACTCTAGTTGGTCTAGGAATCATTGCTGCATTATTGGAAGTTATCACATGGTGTGTGGTTATAAAAAGGAACAAGTCTGTTAGTAATACAGTTGAGAAGAATCCACAAGGTCTTCATGAATCAAATTGGTATAATGGTCATGAAAATGGAACAAATAGGACACATTACAGAGCTTAGATTACTGAAATTTTTATTTTCTTGAATTTGTTGTTGATATTTACTTATGTATGTCATTCCTCCTTATGTACTTTATATATAGCAGAGTGTTCTTTCCTTTCTTTGTATGTTCCTCGGTGTTTCTCTCGTTCTCTAGGGTCAGTGATGCATGGTTTGATAAACTCGATGAATAATGGATTCTTTTCTTCCCTCTACTATATGAAAGGGTTTGAACCTGTGACGTATGTCTTGCCTACACATCAAGTACGGTGCTCTTACCACCAGACTTAGTCATTCTCCTATTTCAGTTGCATTAGACCCAATGTTAGTACCATTTTCTAGGGTCAGTGATGCATGGTTTGAAAAACTCGATGAAAAATGAGTTCTTCTCTCTGCCATACTCCACTTAGATACTAGGCTTTTGTCTACGGAAGTGTTTGAACCTGTGACGTATGTCTTGCTCACACATCACGAACTGCGCTCTCACCACTAGACTTTGTCTCTTCCTCCTATTCAGCTCACTTCACAATATTGACTAGAAAGATAAAGAAAAAAGGAAATACTAGTAGAGTCCTTACCATTAAAGAATTAATTAATTATCAATCTCATCTCAGATTCTCAAATGACACATTTAACTCAACAATGGTTGAAGATTACTTTTGAGGCTCAAACAGCTACTGTTAAGGACATATCACAAGTAGGGATCAATAAAGCTTTTAAAACAAACTAGTAGTAAAATTGAGTAGCCAGAACACGAGTCTTGTGGCCTGAATCTGCAGTATGAATTGATCGTAATTTGGAGGTTCACACTCTAAAACATAAACAATTCAAAATGTATGCAAAAAAGTAACTTCAATCCGAAATCATGAAAGCTAAGGAGTGAGGCAAAAGACAGATATCATTTAAGCCCCTTTCTGTCAAACATATGAAATGGGCCTTGCATGAAGCTTTTTATAATATAGAACCAAATACGTCCTTTTATTATCATTGAAGTCCCTTTCCATCAAACAAATCGATGTCTTTTGACGGAAAACGGTCTTCAATGAATCTTCTTACACTAAAAAATCAATTATATACCATCATCGGATTTTTGAATATTGAAAAAGGATAGTACAGTAGACTTGCCTAGTTAATTAAAAATCATCCGTAAATGGCATGATTTGATCGCTGCTAGGCTAAATAATGCTTGAATCCTGAAAAGGAGGTCAGAACTAGAGTAGTTCAATAATGAAAGATGATCGGTTCTGGAGGTATCTTCTTTCCACTCCATGCTTCTCATTCTTATTCATTCAAGGCTTTGATAAATGCGTCCTTGAGATGAGCGTTTGTAGCAGCTACTCGTCGAGCTGTGAGGTCAAATTCTGAACCAGATCTGAAGAAGAAAAATTATTACACATCAGAGATATCAAACTAACGATATATTTCTATACTAATGAATCCATTAATCGACTTTGCCTCTATCCTAAAACAATTGGAGTCGGCTATATGAGTACACTACATATATTCCATTACAAATAGGTGTAAAACCTAAATATGTGCTTGAATAACTAGATCACTCTTTTTCTCAGGATACAAAACTTTACTTCTTTTTCAATGTGAAAACAATCTTGAACAGTTTCCGAAATCACCGGACATTGTAGCTTGTCAAGAGCACATTCTTTCGACTCTAGAAACCGTCATTTACATCTAAATGAGAAAGATACTTTTCCCCCCTCTAATAGAACATGAAAACTTAACCCTCATACTATTTTTCATTATTTGGAAAATTTCATGAGGAATAAGTATGTTACTCACGGATCAAACACGAAGCCTCCAGCTTCTTTCACTATCACAGCACCACCTGCCACATCCCTATACGTAGACACAAACGTCACCAATATGTTGAATGTTACAAACTTAAAAGATAGAAAAGAATTTATAAGCTTACCAAGGGCCACCAAATTCAAGTTCGTAGAAGAGATCAAGCCTTCCACACGCCACTCCACAGAGATTTAATGCACAAGAACCACACATTCGAAGGGACCTAACCTGTAATATAAAGATCAAACCAATTTTTTTTAATTGTCGGAACATATTTTTAACTGAAAACTTGGATGTCTTGGTAGGTGTTGTGTAACCTTGAAAAGCAAGCTATTGATTCTCCCTGTTGTAGCATCTACAGTTAACTTATCCCGGTTCGTTCCGGCCTGCTCCAGTAAAATAAAATGTCAGTAACTTTTCCTAGTATACCGAAGAGATAAACAGAATAAGTGGATCAGCACATAGATAGGCATAAATCCACCTAGGTCAATAACAAATTTTCCAAATAAAATGTCGCGAGGAAAACAAATCTTTTATACTTCATCATAACATAACCATAATGCTCTGCAACAACCTATTGCCAGGTGTCATCTGACAACTTACAAGGAAGTAAGAGTTTCAATATAATAGGAGGCTGCTAGAGATTTGCAGGGAAGACAAATATATTGGCTAAGAATACGCAAGTTCCCCGAATTGGACAAGCAACAGAACCTGGCTTCCGTATTCATTTAATCGAACTGGTTATCCTATTCACCTCTTTGTAGAACTCAGGACAAGCAAATAATCGAAGGTATACTTCACCAAATATATGCTACTTCTGAGTTTACACAAACCAAGATGGAGGTTCAATTAATTGTAGTTGACGAACATTGTGAAAACAATTTAAATTTCAAGTTCTTATGAACCATAGTTACAGCAGAACAGATAAACCGAAGTAGTTCTTCGTGTGTCACATTTCATTGAAAGATTTCAGCGGGGTTGCAATTGTAATCAATAATTAGGAGATGCTATCATTAAGCAAAGCAAATAAAGGAAGGTCAAGTACCTCTGTAGCAAGAAGAGCCTTCACGAGTTCAGACTGTGAAGATACTGCAGGTATTAAAACAAGGCAGAAGACTTGTTAGAGATCGATAGGTTTAAGCATGATGTTGTGAAAACTACACCATAACCAATATGCAACAATACCTTTGATAGGCTTCCCGTTGAGAAAAGCACCTTTCCCATCAATTGCAGTGAAAAGCTGCATTTCAAAAGCAAAAATCTTCTTACTAACTTGAATCATCAATTCAGCCAGAAACAATATAAATAAAACGAATAAGCACCTAAGGGTGTGGCCTAATGGTCAATGAAGTGGGTTGAGCACCATGAGGTCTCAGGTTCAAATTCCAACAGAGACAAAACACTAGGTGTCTTTTGATTTGTTCTAGCCTTGGTAAATAACGGTACCTATTGTTGGTGAGAGGTGGCAGGTATCCCATGGAATTAGTTGAGGTGCGTGCAAATGAAAGATCTATATAGGCAAAACGAACTAGTTGGAGATAAAGGTTAGTTGCTGTAAAACTCTTAGGAATATTTTATTCTGGTTAGAGACTTGTATGTTTGTGAAGGGGCAAGCACGAAATCTAGAGAACCTTTTAGTTTATAGAGTATCTCTTTTTTGTTCTAAAAGATAAACGATTTAGTATTGGAATGAATTGGACCTAAATATAAGGAAATGGGTGTAAAGGGTTCATGCAGCGGAACATCAACTAATTTGGAATTGAAGCATTGTTGATTGAGATATCTTACCTCATCGATAATTGGGTTGTAAACAACACCAACTGTTGGTTTCTTCTCAATTGTGAGACCGATTGATACACAGACAAAAGGGAACCTGAAGTCAATCAAGTTTCACAACGATCAGCTTGAGCAGCTTCATGGATCATATAAAACAGTTCTATCAAAATATGGAGAAATTTAAGATTACCCATGCACAAAGTTAGTGGTTCCGTCGAGTGGATCAACTATCCAAGTTGGTTCATCAGTCAGCTCAAAATTTCCACAAGAAGCAGTTGTTTCTTCACCAATGAACTGAAGTGGACAGATATTCGGCGCAGCAAAGAGCCAGAAACAGATCAGTACAATCTTTTCATGATACAGCTAATAAAATGATGGAACTAAGGATACAAGATCTGAAAGCGAACCTTATGGCTGGGGAAACGTTGCTTGAGATGGTCAAAAATGAGATCTTCACATGCCTTATCAGTCTCTGTGACTAAATCCACCTACATTGGATGAATAACATAGATTTAATTGTACAAAAAGACCCATAGCTTAAAACAAGAGACAGAAACAATCAAGATAGCTGCGTCATGCGAACTAAGCCAGGTTAAGTGGAGAAGGGTAGAGGGGCAGACACATATCCCCAAGTTCCAGAGGCTGCGGTTGGTACTAAGGGTTGGCCTCACGAAATCCGGATTTCTCAGTCATCAGAAAGAAAAAAAAAATCTACCAAATTTGACATCTTTTGGCCAAAAACAAAACATATGATTAGCTTTACGCAAGAAACAACTCATTCTTAACTAGTCCTACTGGATAATAAAGCATAGATTCTCGAACTCAAGCCATAAGCATGGTTCATTCTCTAAGTAGTATCTCAATATCCAATATTGTTCTTCATATAAGCAAGAACTGACTAGCAAATTAAGCAATAATAGCTCTTCATGAAGATCACAGAATGACAGAAAGCATTTGTTTACAAGGAAAATCCAAACACTAAGTTGCTCAGACTCTTCAAAAATGTCGCCAAGTGCGTGTCCGGATCACAAATTAAGCAATAATAGCTCTTCATGAAGATCACAGAATGACAGAAAGCATTTGTTTACAAGGAAAATCCAAACACTATGTTGCTCAGACTCTTCAAAAATGTCGCCAAGTGCGTGTCCGGATCCTCCAAAAGTAGTGCATTTTTGGAGGATCCAACACAGGTTCTGCAACATTTTTGGAGAGTCACACACTCTCCAAAAATGATGTTACGACCGTGTCAGATCCTCCAAAGGACCTGATACTCGCCCGTCAACATTTTTGAAGAGTCCGAACAACATAGGCCAAGGCAAAAACCAAACAGGCACTAACCACTCCTTTGTGCTCCACATGCTTAGTCTTGTAGAATCCTTGGCGAATTATCTGCAAAACACATAAATACAAAACAATGAAATCAAGAAAAACTTAAAGCTAAAAATTGAATCTTTTTTTGATTGTTCAAGCAAAAAATTGAATCCTTTTTTGATTGTTCAAGCTAAAAATTGAATCTTTTTTTATTATTCAAACTAAAAATTGAATCTTTTTTTATATTCAAGCTAAAAATTGAATCTTTTTTAATCATCCAAGCTAAAAATTGTATCTTTTTTTTATTATTCAAGCTAAAAAATGAATCTTTTTTTGATTATTCAAGCTAAAAATTGAATCTTTTTTTATTATTCAAGCTAAAAATTGAATCTTTTATTGATTATTCAAGCTAAAAGTTGAATCTTTTTTAATCATCCAAGCTAAAAATTGAATCTTTTTTTGATCATTCAAGCTAAAAATTGAATCTTTTACAATGTAAATAGCTAAAATTATTCAAAAAAAGAATGAATTGGATCAAATTAGATCTACCTCTCCAGCTTTTTTAGCCAAGCTAAAAATTGAAT